GGCCTTGTTTGATCCTGATATTAATTACTTGGGCTTCTACTGCTGGCTTCCACTTCTGGTGTATCTGCCCGCAGAATGCTGGCAGGCTTCAGGACTCTTTGGATCATAAGGCTGAAGGTGCTGCATCTTCAGGTCTGCTGACTTCAGGACTTCAGGAGCCCTTGTTTGGATGTTGCTGTCCTAGTTTGGGTATGTCTGGCTCCCAACTCAAGTTTGTTGTCATCACTTAGTGGAGTGTGATCCCTGCTACACTAGATCTTCCTTGTATAGACCCTCCTATCTTGTTGCTTCCTGGTACAGAAAGCTGTAGACTTTATGCATTCCTGTAGTAATTCTGGCCCATTCTGGGCAGTTTGTTTTACCTTTAACCAGGATGGCTTTTCTGGCTGGGTCTCTTTCCTATTGCATATGAGTTTTTGGTTGACTTTATGGACAGTCCTGGACTAGATGAGAACACTTATTGTAGCAATCCTGGGCTAGATGAGAACACTTATTACAGTTTTTTTTTCAGATTTATTTTTTATATAGATTTTTATTGATATCTTTTTATATTTCCTACATTTCCCCCATCTCCCTTCCCCCCCCCAGAGTTTCATCCCCCTTAAACAAATAATTTTTTTAAAACAAGAGAAAAGAAAGGAAGAGAAAAAAATCAGCAAAACTGATCAATACATTTAAAAAAAATCTGTTTTGTGCAACATTCCACATCTGCAGACCTCTAGCTCCCTCCCCTTACTTCACTTCTCCCCCTTCCCCGGCCAAGTCTTCCCCTCTCCTTCCTCTAACCATTGTAAAGGAGTGATGGGAGGTATATTCTCATATATCTTCTTTAGGACCAAATTTATTCTTTGTAAATTTACAACATTCAATTTTGATTATATTGTGGTTGTTCCTTCCACTTAGATGAATGTAGTCATTGTGTATATTGTTTCCTTGGCTCTACTTACTTCATTTTGTATCAGTTCACATGGCTTTCTATGCTTCTCTATTTGTCCTATTTGTCATTTCTTATACTATAGTAATATTCTATTCCAAATGCCACAATTTGTTGGGCCATTCCCCTATCAATGGGTGTCTATATTGTTTCCAGTCTTTGGCTACCACAAAAAATGCTGCTATAAATATTTTGGTGCATATGGAGCCTTTCTTTTTTGTCAATGACCTATTTGGGATATATACCTAGCAGTGGAATCTCGGTCATGGTTATGGACATTTTAGCTACTTTATTTGAATAATTCCAAATTGCTTACCAGTGTAATTGCATTAATTTATAGTTCTAGTAATGATGCACTACTGGTCTTTCTTACCACAACCCTTTCAACATTGACTTATTCTCTTCTTTTGTCAACTTTGCCAATTTGCTGAGAGTTAGGTGAAACCTCAGGGTTGTTTTGACTTGAATTTCATTTCCAGTTATTATGAGTGATTTGGAGCATTCTTTTATATGGTTGTCCATAGTTTTCAATTACTATTTTGAAACTGTCTGTTCACAACCTTTAACCATTTATTTGACCATTTATCTATTGGGGAATGAAAATTAGAGAGAAAAACATAGGAAATTGAGAATAAAAATTGATAGGCTAAACTAATAGTTTTTTTTTCCCCTAAAGACTAACCATATGGATAAACTATTAAGCTAATATGATCAAAAATAAAGAGGAAAATCAAATTATGAGGATATAATAATATGATTTCAAAACAGAGAAGAAATAAAAATAATTAATAAAATAATCACCCAAAGTATTAGACATGACAATGGTAACATAACTAGAAAATAATTCATAATTCACTAAGTTGGATTAATTTCAGGGATCCAAAGATTGTTCAACATTAGGAAAACGATGATAATAAAAACCATGTTTATTTTAATTATTTTAATTTTGACAAAATATAGCACTCATTTATGCCAAAACTATAAAAAGCTGAAGCACTGAAGGGAACTTCTTTAATATGATCAAAGGCAAATAATTAAAACCATGAGCTAGCATTTCTTGCAGTGGAAAAACACTAAATATGTTCTTATACAAATGAGGTAAAGCAAGGATGATTCCTCTCCCCACTTTCATCGGACACAATTATGGAAATAGTTATGGCAATCAGACAAATATAATAGATATAAACACTGGCAAAATAAAGACAAATTTATCTTTACTTGAAGATAACATGTTAATGCTTGGACACACTTCGGGAGATAGCGGAGCATAGAATGGCCTGGTGTGCTACGGTCCACAGGGTCACAGAGAGTTGAACATGATTAAACAAATGAACAAAAACAACATGCTAACATCTGAAAAAGCCCCAGAAGATCAGTAAAGAAAGTAATTGAGATGATTAATAGCTAACATTGGAGAGGGGAATTGGGAAAAGCATAGAGCTCACTTAGTAGAGAAACTAGACAAGGTAGAAGAACAAATGAATGAGAAAATTTAGGGGCAGTTAGGATATTAGAGAGAATACTGCTGAAATGGATGACCTAGGGTTAAGGATGGGTGTCCAGGCAATTGAGAGCAGAAAGAGATTGATGTACTGGGCATATAGGGAAAGCATGAAGTGGTCTCAACAGGTTCAGGAGGAGTGAGAGTATAGTGTAGGGCTAAATAGGTGACTGTGGTCAGAAAGGAAAACTTCAAAATTCATGGTCTTGGAAATGGAATTGTTTTAAATAACGCAGTTCAAAATATGCACAAATAAACTTTTGGAGGACAATCTATTTTTAAGTGGTTTATGTATAAGACCTAATCTCTGCTTTCAATGTTTAGACTAAACAAAATTATGAAGCAGGAAACAATAATTTGAGAAGAGCTGGGCACTTCTAGAAGACAAAGCTGACTATGTCTGTTCCCTCCTCAAGAAGATTCAGTGGGTACCTTTTAACTCTAATATAAAATATAAACTCTTCTTTTTTTTTTTAAAAGCATGTTAAAAACCTTCATTATCTCACTCTATCATAAGTTTTCTGATGAATTCTTTGCCACTTTGATCTACTGTTCCTCATATACAATATTCTATCTCCATGCTATAGGATGCAAGCACAGGATTTATTCATAGAATCAAAGAATCATAAGTTTAGGGCCTGGAAAGGACCTTAGAGGCTATAGAGGCCAAATCCCTCATTTTAGAGATGAGGAGGCTCAGAGAGATTAAATGATCTGCCCAGGATCATACAGCTATAGATATCTGAGGCAGGATTCCAACCCAGGTATTCCCAACTGTATGCTCACTGCTCCATCCATTGCACTGATTCAGAGCAAAATAATCAGAAATACGAGAAAAATATACACAACTTATTGTTGTACAATTGTTTCACTTGTGCCTGACTCTTCGTGACTCCATTTGGGGTTTTCTTGGCAAAGATACTAGAGTAATTTGCCATTTCCTTCTCCAGCTCATTTGACAGATGGGGAAATGGAGGCAAACAAAGTTAAGTGACTTGCCCAGGATCACACAGGTAATAAGTGTCTGAGGCCTGATTTGAACTCAGGTTTTCCTGACTTCAGACTCCACACTCTATCCACTCCATCTCTTAGCAGCCCTATACACAACTACAATAATGTAAATTAAAAGATCATAAAAGAGAAGACAAATTCTGAAGAAGTATAAAACTAGTGAAGGTCTCAGAGCAGGCAATGAAGTATATCTTTGCTATCGTGGCACAGAGGCCGGGGATTATTAGGACAAAATATTGTATACACTGTTAGATGTGATAACTGTTTTTGTTTAATTGTTCTTCTTTGTCACAAGGGAGGGTCAATCTGGTTGTTTGTCTGAAATAACTGTGATATAAAGGCAAAAAGCATTAATAAAATGGATTTAATTAAGCTTTTCAATGTTTCAATATTCCATTTAAATTTAACTTGAGAATTCTAGTAATTCTTTACGTTTTTGAAATTTAAAAAAAAAATCTGGGTAAGTTTTATTTATAGCAAACCTCTCTCTTCCTTCAGTACCAAGACCCAGTTCAACCGGTCCAAAAACCAGTTCTGCTAGCTGGGTGGATCTCTCCTTCCTCTTATTTTCCTAGATGATTATGCCTTTATCTCTACTTTGTCCTCAGCACATTCTACTTTGTATCATAGCTACTTGAGGGTAGGGACTATAGTATTTTTCATCTCTGTAATCCCTTCACCTAAAATAGTAGATTGCAAATAGTAGATATTTAACAAATGTTTGTTGGATTTAATTGAATTGTTGGTTGGACCTTATGGAGTTTGCACTCCAGTGACACAGCCTTTGAAAACATAGGACTACCATGACAGGCTGTCTTGTCATAGTAGAATTTTCATGAAGGTTGAGGAATTCCAGGTGAAAAAAATATTTTACTTTCTATAAACTCTAAATTCTATACACCACTTTAGGAAAGAGCAGGTTCCTATATCTTACTCCATAGGTGAAAGCCCCATTAATTTGTCTGAGTAATATCAGTGATGGAATAACTCAAATTCAGTATAATTGAGAAAATCACACTAATACCTACGGTTAACCTCAGTTGCTAAAACATGGGATCGATATATAGATTTTAAAGCTGATGAATGAAATTCAAATAGATTTTTCCTGTTTTTTGTTTCCTGAGAAAAATCTCCAAAGAGAGGAAGTAAAATGAATCCATTCCTCTAAAAAAGTATTAAAAAGATAACCCTCCCTTCACCCTTTGCACCCTGGAAAGCATACAGTGTGACACATGGGCAGAAGTGTTTTTAAACAGAGTTATTATTTAAAAGAAATTCCAAGAGGCATTAGCTGCTTTTTAAATTCTTAACTTATTGCTTTTGGGAATTAACATAAAGTTAGTGATGAATATAACTTTCTATTAAGCAATTTTCTTCCTCAATTGTGCACAGCCACTTACAAGGCAGAACATAACAGCTCAATCAAGCCTCATTATGCCAGATTTAGTTCAAGCCCTTCTGAAGTACACTGAGAAAGACTTAATATTGCCTAGAGAAAATCTTTTCATAAATTGCTCTTTTGCAAACTAGAAAGAAAATGAATATTATGGGTACCTTTTCATGTGTTCTCAAATTCTTTTGCCACGTGGCAAGAGCAGCTGGAATGTACTTGCTGCTGGTTACATAACAATGTGCCAGTAGAACATGGTGGAGTGTAGTTTCTTGGCTCATTGCTTTAAGAATTTTCAGGGTGTGCCTTAGGGATACAGAAGCTTCAGTCCAGACTCCGCCACCCACAAGCTTCATGGTGCAAGGTACCAAGGCAATCTGTCCAGCAATGTATAGGACTTCTCCAACCTAGAACAGAAAAAAAGGAGGATAAAATATGTAGCAAAAAAAAAAAAAAAAAGATTTCTATTCTTATTCAGGTGATTCCATGATCTTTACTGAATTATGACTTTGTCCTAAAAGGAATGAGTCCGCATCAGCTTGTTCCTGGCAAAAACCACAGTTCAATGGAATAGTCAACCACTTCAATTTGTGTTACTGGATGCATTTAACAGGGGTTAGTTAGACATGAAGATTCAAGCTGAAAGAACCTATGATTAAATGACATATTTTTTAAACAGTGTAACAATAGGTGTCTGTATTGGATGCTGTGCATTGATAAGGAGGGGTAATGGGTATACTAGAAAGAGTGCTGGATTTGCAGTCTGAGGACCTGGACCTGAATGCAAGTTCTGCTGTTCACTATCAGTGTGACCCTGGACGAGTCACTTTTTAGGCCTCAGTTTTTACCTCTATAAAATGAGAGTGTTGGAGTACATAATTTCTAAAGTATCGTCTATCTCTTAAATCCTATGAAAGAAGTGTGACTGGCTTTGGTGCCAGAGGACTTGAGTTCAAATCCTGCATCCAATGTTTGCTACCCATGTGACTTTGGCCAAATGATTTCACCTCCTGAGGGATCGGATCTGTCATCTGTATGATGAAGAAGTTGGATGAGATGGTCCCTGAGGTGTCTTCCAGGTCTGGATTTATGATCCTGTGAACTTCACTACACCATTTTTTTTTTAAACTCTATAGAATCATTTGGTGTAAGGAGGCATTACTTTGAATTTCATTTAAAGGCTTTTGGTGATGGGAATGACAAAATTTTTTTTTTAGTAAGGTGGTTTCATGGGGCAAATCCTAAAGAAGGCTACAGTGTATTTTTATTAAATTTTAAATAGAAGCTCTTATTCTTGATCAATGTGAGGCACAGGAAATAGGAATGTTTGGTTTTTATTCCTGCTACGTTACATTTTTCACTTGTGCATTACATTAGGAAGAAATTTTGCAAGCCATTTACTTTTGCTGTTGTTGTTTCAACATCTTCTAGATCATGCTTTTAAAAATAAACACATGGAGGAAGCTAGGGGGCACAGTGGATTGAGAACCAGTCCTGGAGTAATGAGGAACTGAGTTCAAATACAGCCTCAGGCACTTAGTAGCTGTGTGACCCTGGGTAAGTCATTTAACCCCAAATACCTCCCCCCATCAAATAAATACATAAAAACAAACACAAGATAGTTAAATAAGTGAAGCATTTGACTCTTTTCTATTTTACTTCAAAAAAATATGTGTGGTAGAGCACTGGATAGTTCACATAACCGGAAGACTAAAGATGCAAGTTGTTTAATATAGAGGATTGTCCAAAAAAATAGTAAAGACTTTTCTCACTTATAGGGTCAATGTACCAAATCTTTAACCTTTAAGAGAGGATTTATAGAACTTTTATCAGACTCAAATGTTTGCTGAATTGAACTAAAGATTTCTCTGAATTAGAGCTCAGTGAAAAGAAATCTCCATCCTGGAAGACAAGGCAATCAAACCATGTGACAGTCCCATATGCAACTCCAAATCTGTCCTCATCACTGTCTGTAGAGCTCACAAAAGAGTCACACATGTAGCTATTGGAAGAATATCTTACACAATTTGGCATACAAGTTCTAAGATTAGCAGCTGAAGAGGGGGAGGAAGAGGAGAGGAACATAATAGATGAACTGACACCCATCCACTATCTTTTAAAATTATTTGGAATGTTAAAAATATTGTTTTGATTAATCTATATATACCCTCAAATTTGAAAGAGAAATGTAAAGCATGTTGTGGTTGAAAGAACAAATGGTTTTTTAAAACTACTATGAAATATATGTCACTGAACAAGGGAGTCCAGCCAGCTTCCAAGTGGCATGTTGACATGATGAGAAGCAAATCCAGGATGCTGTGAATCAAAGAGGAATGGGTCTATTTTTAAAGAGGCTTGTGTTTCCCACCCCCTATGCCAAGTGCAACCTTCTGGAGAAGCCTGGCCTCCAAAATAGGTAAGTGTCTAAATGTTCCAGGAGCTATCTCCCCAACATTATCTACCTCCTCCCCTGAAAGGCCTTTGGCTCTACATGTATCACCCATGTTAATTATGAGACAAACAAGAGCTGTTCAACCAAGTCACTTCCCCTATTCTTGAACAGATTGTTTGAGACATAATATGAATACTAATTAATGATAAAATATCTGTCGGTGTTTTGAAATATGGACTAAGATAGCACTTTTTAAAAACCTCTCAGATAGTTCTTGTACAATAAGCCCATTGGTCATATGAAGGGTCAGGCTCCAGCTCTGAGATATGTGAGCAAAATTGGCAGAGCTTTTGGCTCCAATTCAGTGGGAAACTGGGGAGGGCTTTTTTTGGGTAACTTTCTTTTAACCTTTTTTTTCCCTCTGCTAAATTGGAAAAGTTAAAAAAAAATCTTTTCTCATAGCTGAATGGAGAGAAAGAAAAGATAGAGTCTTACAAGATTATTGTAGTGGATAGAGGAAGATAGAAATTTACATAACCAAGGAGTATAGATGGATCTATACTACACGGATCCCAAGCAGGTTTTATTTAGTCTGCTTACAACATTAAGAGCACAAACATTCAGCCTTTTTAGTCCTTTATCAAGGGACTCTATTTTCAAAAGTTGCTGTTGTTCGGTTGTTTCAGTCATGTCTGACTCTTTGTGACCCCATTTGGGGTTTTCTTGGCAAAGATACTGGAGTGGTTTATCATTTCTTTCTCCAGCTCATTTTACAGATGAGGAAACTGAAGCAAACAGGATTAAGTGACTTGCCCAGGGTCACACAGCTAGTAAGTGTCTGATGTAGGATTTGAACTCAAGAAAATGAGTCATCTTGACTCCAGGCCCTGCATTCTATCCACTAAGCCACCGAGTGGCCCATTTTCAAAAGACAACCCACCCCCCCAACATAAAATTCCTCCTATATAAATTCTTTACATATAACTTTCCTCCACTGAGTAACCAATAACCAGACCTACCCTTACCCAGAAAGTACTCGATGTTGTAAAAGTGGAAGTATCCTAAAAGTCTTTGTGCTGTTTTAAGATATTAAAGCCTAAAATGGCACTAAGGCTTTTGGGACACTCCGTACCTATCTCTATCTCTCTCCAATCATCTTGTCTCCCTCCTAACCTTTCAACTGGAATGAAAGCTCCTTGTGGGTCGCGACTGTCTCACTTCTGTATTTGCATCCACAGTGCCTAGTATGTAGTAAGAACTTAATAAAATGCTTGTTGATTGATTGATGAAGCCAAGATGTACACTCATTGAGCTATAGGAAAAGGACCCATTGTTGTTAAATGGAGATGGGATTATAAACATCATATTCAGATTTAAAAGTAGTGGTAGTAGGATGTAGTGGATAGAGTGCTCAGTCTGGGGTCAGAAAGACCTAGGTTTAAATCCTGCCTTGGACAATTTAGCGGCGTGAACCCTGGACAGGGTTAATTTCCTTAATCCTCAGACAATTCCACAAGACATCTCCTGAGTCACAGAAAAGTTGCGATCTTTGGTAGAGGGAGTTCCCATAACTGGAGTTAACTACACTGAAGAAAGAGCTTCTTGATTGGATATTCAGTCCTATGAACTTCAGTAATGAGAATGACTGAAATAATTATTCAATATGTAGTGTGTAGTAGCTCATATCCCTGCCAAAATATGTCTCAACCCTTCTCCTAAACCAAGTATTTATTTTGGTTTCAGGAATTCTAATCCAACAATCCACTACTCTTCTTTTTCCTTCTTTCAGGTCCCATGTTTATCTGGAATAGGAAAGCATGGTTATACAAGTCACTGGGTCTCAGTATTTCTAATTATTTGCAATTATTGGAAAAGTTGTAGATAACAAAAATATATTTTAAAATTTATACCTGAATATGGGCATATTTGATCTTTTAGATTTTCACTTGAAATAGAAAAATGAACATATATAATGACCATTTGACTCAGGAAGGTGCTGGGAAGTGGCCTAATTTCCCTCTTTTCTCTTTTGTTCCACTGTTCCCTATAACCACCACTATGCTGATAATATACAAGTTTTCAGAATGATGAAAGGTCTGCCCTCTCTCAAATCTTCCCTGGATTGGGAAAAATGATTCAGTGTTTGGGTCTCCCTCTTTTTTTTTTTTAACACCAGAAGGAAATAGGGGAGTCAAGATGTCCACAAAGCTATAATTAGAGAGGTTGCTGCTAGTCTTTAAAATGTCAGCAAAGCAAGTACAGAAGAAAAAGTAAAAAAAAAAAAGATTAAAATCATACTTCCTGTGTATAAATAATTATGCAGATAATTCAGTTTTGAATGATTAATTGTTGAATGGATATATGTACTTTTTATATTTGCACTTTATGCATTATCTCTTTTTTTCCTCATCTGACTCTAAGATTAATGAATACAGGGACCTGTATTTCCTCTGTGACTTCATCCTCAGAGTGACTAATAATGACTAATACTTTTTACACAGTAGGTATTCAGCAAATGTTGTTACTGGTGCTGTATTAAGTCTTGGCTATCAACTGATGGATGTTAAGATGCCTGTATTTTCATCTTATAAATGAAAATTTTATTGATGTGTTTTATTTTTAAACCATAACGCTCCCCAATCCCGCCAGGTACATCACCCCACTCACATCTACCCAGTAAGGCTCCTCTTGTAACAAAGAAAAACAATTAAGTTGCCGTGAACTACGTCTGACTACATAAGCCACATTCTATACCTATTGTCCTCTATTTTTTCAAGGAAAGGAAAGAAGCATATTTCTTCATCTTTTCTCCAGGGCTAAGACTGGTAATTACAATTACACAATACTCATATTCATTTTAGTGCTCTTCCTCTTGACATTATTGTATTTGTTGTATATATTGTTTTCTAAGTTCTATCTCTTGTGCTCTGAGAAGTCTGTTTTCCCTGGACATACTCATGTTCCCTAGACATAATCATGCTTTAAGGTCTGCCCAAGTTTTTAAATTCCTACTGT